ATATATATATATATATATATTTATTTATTTATTCATTTATAAAAATATATAAACGAGAAAAGTGATGAGTGAAAAACCTGCAACTATCCAATTTTTAGAGGAGTAGAAATCACCGGGGATAAGTTTTAGCTATTTCTTTCAAATCTTAGGTAGGGAAAATATAGCAACACCCTTTGGTATAGAAAAAGAAACCTGGACATTTAACGCGTAATTTACGAATACAGAGGACTTTAAGCACATTGAATTGACCAAAATCGTATTATACACTTTTTCGCTGCGTCCGAAAACAGTTTGAAGGTAAATAGAAAAGTGTTACAATGTTAAGTCTACGTTTGAGATTGAGCACCTGTTATTGAGCTCAATTGGGTTCAAGCACAATACTGAAAGTTCACTAGTAAAAGAACAACACAAATTAATACACGGAACAAGGAAGTGCACTGATAAGAGTAATACTGAGAAGAACATATAAAAGTAATACTTCGTTATTGAGGAGAACAGTGTTGCTAAACTGTGTCGTTTGACTACTACATAAAGTTCGTCTTCATCTGTGCTTCATCGTCCCGACAGCTGCTTGAAGTATATTCAGAAAATATTCGATTAATAACTTGAATAAATCTTCTGAGACTATTGAGCGCTCTTTCGAGATTAACTGATTTTTTAAACAACCTTTATAACGAAAAATTTTGGGGGTTTGAATAAAGTAATGCTACAGGAAAATTACCTACTACCGGTTTGATAAACTTTGAATATCAACTGTGATTCTTTTATACGTTCCTGCTGCAAGGGGAAAAATTTGAGAAGTTTTTTTGATTTTTTCAAACAAGAAAACTGGAGCAAAAAAATGACTGTTACGCGGCGCTTTCTTTTTCTTGTTATGGTGCTTTAGCTACTAAGCTCGGATATGTCCATACAGCTGTTCTTATTCTCACGGCATTCTTTTCAGCTTTTTGACAAATTACCTCCTGCCGTTGACTACACCTTACGCATGGAATCCTACCATATTGAAGAGCTTTGCGAACACTCAAGGAAAGGCGACCTAGAAAGCATCCGCCGTTTGTTGAACGAGCACAGAAGCGACTTTAATAACAGACGAATGAGGAGAGCATTGGTTAGTGTCTATAAAGAATGATGGTTATTGCTTCCAAGTTTCTTATTTACTTCGATGGCGAGCGGGAACTTCCCCTGTCCGCTCATGAAAGGCTAGTTCAAAAAACGAAACATTCTGATAAGTGTATTTTATTGGAGCGATGTTTGCAAAGCTTCACGAATAGTCTCAGGAACCATCAATAAGCATTAATAAGCCGTTGGTATAGAAGCAATACTATTTACGTAACCACCGCTTTCAAACAGTAAAAACTGATTTTTCTTCTGCCTCATATCAACGCTGATAAGGTTTTTGTGCTTCAAGAGCACTAAACAACGAAAACATTAATACAAAAATCCAGACTCTGCATTCACTTGGTTCAAAATGAATTTAGGTTTGACACACTAAAATTTCCTTTTTGCTTTAGGAAAGACCATTGTTTACAGCAGCTACATGTGGACACCCGGAAATCGTTCGCTTTTTTGAGAACAATGGAGTCAGCACTACTTGGAAAGATAACAGTGGGGTAATATAATTAGACGTAAAACTCAAAATCGCTCACTGCTTTTTAAAAGAATATGCCTATGACTAAGAAAGATAAAAGTCAAACGACGAAAAACCATCAAAGAATTTAGCTACCCATGTCGCGTTTATCGATGATCGGTTAGAAAAAGGGGAAGGAATTGGAAAAGAGGGGATCGTAAAGATGAAAGTTTACAGAGAAAGCAATCTCAAAAATTTTTGAGGAAGACAATTTTTTACAGGGGTTATCAATGATTAATTAATCTTTAAGAAAGAAATTAATCCAATTTTCAATTTGCATAATTTATTAAAAAAACTTCCGGTCTGAAGTTAGCATAGTACCTACCTTTCTTTTTATAAACTAAGGACGAATATCATATTACAAAATTTCGATCACAAGTTCCAGAGAACTTCGTGGCAAAGCTATATAAGACTACAACTTTTTTTATCACTTTTTAAAATTTCGTTAGGTTACAAACATTAAAGGTGGTGGAAAGGGAACACACTAAAATTGTTAAAATTCTGGCTGAAAATTAAGCCAACTTGAAAGAGAAAGACAAAAGAAGGGTAAAGAACTGTTGAAAGCGTTGAAGAAAATCAATTAGCAGTCTAAAGACTTGGAATTGAAAAGTATTCGTTGTAAAACGAGAGGCAAGTTTAAAAATTACTGAAACAAGTAAATTCCGAAGAATTCTGAATAAATTTAAAAAAAGAATGAAGGAAAAAATTTTATAAAAAATAATTTTTTTGAAAAAAAAATAACAGTGTTTTTAGTTTTCTCAAGATATTTCTATGCAGCACGTTTTTAACTCACCTTTACTTGCATTTGTATTCTTTTAAAAAAAAATTAAAGACTACAGCGAAAGAAGGCAAACCAGCAAAATTTCAATGATCGAGAAGAAGTTTAGTTTGCATAATTTATTAAGATGCATTTGTTTTCAGTGGGCTCGGATACATTTCGCAGCGAGGAACGGATATACAGAAACTGTGAAAGTTTTGGCTAAAAAGAAAGCCAATTTGAATGCAAAAGGCAAATATAAGGTAAAGAATTGTTGAAAGCGTTGAAGAAAATCAGTTAG